ACTTGGTAGCCCAGGCTGGCCTCGAACTCACAGAGATCCGCCTGGCTCTGCCTCCCGAGTGCTGGGATTAAAGGCGTGCGCCACCCCCGCCCGGCCCAAGAGGAGATTTTTAAGTACTCTGCCTACAAGAGTGTGCGCGGTAGTACATATGCTGCTTAAGATGATTTATGTATGTAGCTTTTAAAACAGCATGTTATATAAGATAAACATGCGTTATTTGCCAAGTATAAAATTTAAATTAAAGGACTGTAATACTACTTTGATTTTCTTAATTTGGCTTTGATGTTTTTCTAGAAACTGGTTCTATTTGTTAATTTCTTTCAATTTTATTGGCTCCAGATTATTCTTCAGATGCTCTTATGAGCTTTTCTTAAATCTTTGCAGGCTCTGTGGTGGTATCCCCTTTGAAATCATTGAACCTGTTTCTGCTTTCTCGTGCTGGTCTTTATGTTCAGGCGACAGAGCTGTCCTCTTCTTCCTGCCCTGTTACTTCACAGGCCAACCCAGGCAGACCTTTTGTCAGATGCTATCCCCAAGCCCATCTCCCCAGAGTGATGAGTCGTATGCCCCTGTCCAGCATAGTGCCATTAAAGCGGGCCTGTGAGCCGCAGTGAACAGTGCTCCATTTGCTCCGACTGAAGCATAGTGCAGTAAACAGGCCTGTCAGCCGCAGTGAACAGTGTTCCATTTGCTCCAACTGAAGCTCTCTACGGGCTGTAGGCCAGGTCTCTGTGTAGATCGGACCTGTAGATGATGCCTGTGCAGGCCCATAATTCATGTATGTATCCTATGACATTTGGATACAATAGTCTGTCTATCTGTTTCTACCTCTGCCCGCCTGCCTGCCTGCTTGTCCCCTATTTTACCTTCTGAAACATTCATTTTATCATTTTTTACCCCCCTCTAGGTCAAAATTCACCAAATTTGAGCTCTTCAGATTTCAAGTCTGTTCAAGAGAGTAAAGGACACGTGAAGCGGGAACATGAAGGAATAACAGTAAGATTTCCAAGAGAAAACTGCTCTGTTGTTAGCATAAATTGTACCATGATAATGAATCTATTGATGATAGTTTTCATTTTTTTCCACTTAGATTGCTTATAGATCGAAATAATCTAGAAGTCACTTAAGGTTGTGCTTGCTTTCTGTATAAAATACAGTAATTCTACAAAAATGGGGTGGGGGGGTTAGCATGATGTAGAATTTACAGCTGGTCCTATGTTGTATAGTACACTTTGAGCAGGTATACTTGCCTGTAAAACCTTCCTTTCAGATTCGCTACCTGACCCAGTTTTCCTAATTAAGCTCTGGTGTGGTTTTTATTTTGTAAAGTAGGTATTTATTTAAAAAACATATTAAATATAAAGAGGAAATGGACTATAATTCGTTCTTTCAGATAACCTCTTTTGTATTTTAAAACTTAGTGTATATTTATAAAAAATACAAATACAGAACAGAAGGGACCCGGGCCTGCTCTCCCTGAAGAGAGCAGAGTTGAGGTCCTGTGTGTTGGTGTTTAAGAAAGACGTGTGCCAGCTTGTCTGTATGGATCTCACTTTTCGAAGTGAAGCAGATCCAGATGAACCCAACCCATTCCTGACCACGGGCCAGAACAGTTCTGGTTCTGTTGCTTTGGCTACCAGTTCTGTTTTGTTTTCTAGTCCCTTCCTTTTGCGCCCCTTCACAGTGCTGTGGTGTTGGCTGCTTCCTCTATCATCCACATGTGTGTGCCTCCAAGCAATGTATTACATAGTTTCTAAAGTTTCTAAAGTATTCTGTAGGTTCATTTAGTTGTATGTTTGTAGAATACCCACATGGTATTATGCAGTACTTAATTCATTTGAGTTTTTCCTGCTTTATGATATTCCATTATGAATATATCCCTTATTTTTCCATTCTTCTGTTGATAGGCATTCTTTCTAATATTTTAGTTTTCTGAAAGATGTAGCTGTGTACCTTCTTAGACTTTTCTCAAGATCTCCATGTTCAAATGTTTCTGTGTGACTGTCCAGCAGTAAAATTAATAAATTATACAATCAAGAGAATGCTCCTTCCCCAAATGCTTATACCCCTTTTATATCTACCAGCAATACAAAGAGTTCTCACCATCACTTTGTGTTGTCAGACTTCTGAAATTTTTTCAGGTCAGCTACATGGAAATGGGATATCATCTTATTTGAATTTCTTATATTACTAATAAAGTTCAAAATTTTCATGTTGATTGGCTGTTTATATTTCATCTGTGAAATGCCAGTCAGTGGCTTGTCATTTACTTTTTTTCTTTTACTTGTATTAGTTCTCTGTATAGTCTGAATAGTGACCTATAAACTATATCTTGCTAGAAGATGCAGGTTGCCTCTTGATTTTTTCATTATTTTTCTTTTTTTTTTTTTTTTTTTTTAAGGTATGAGTGCTCTATCTGCATGTATGTCTACATGCCACCAGAGGCATCACATCACATTATAGATGGTTGTGAGCCACCATGTGGTTGCTGGTAATTGAACTCCGGACCTCTGGAAGAGCATCCAGTGCTCTTAACCACTGAGCCATCTCTCCAACCCGCTTCCTGATTTTTTAATCCTTTGTGTTAACATAAGGGCCAGTGTTTACTGGTGCTCAGAGAATTCTGTAGTATATTAACTAGGAAGGTTTTGAGCAGCCCTTTGGAAGTCTGGGTAGAGTCTATACTTTTCCTGCCTAAACATTCATGGGGAGCTCAGGCCTCCTGGAGACTTGTGGGACTGTGTGTACACTTGACTAGAGAAGCATATAGAACTTCGAAATAAACCATTTACACAGGATTGACTTGGCATCCCTTCTTGGTGTGTCCATTCAGCTGGGTCAGTTGACCAAGCAGAAAATATGAATTGGAGTTTCAGATCTTGAGAAACATATAACTTAATTATACTAGCTTGTGATCACATCCTTCAACAGGAAAACATCAGTCAGTGTTTTGTTACTATTATTGCTTCTTTTATTTAAAAATAGGCTAGGAACTTAAGAGTCTGGTAAAAGTTTCAACTTTCCGGTAATGAAAGCAGCATTTCTTTTTGTCTGAAGATCTTGGTTCGAAGGAGCAGCAGTCCTGCTGAGCTGGATCTAAAGGATGATTTACAGCAGACACAAGGAAGATGCAGGGAGAGACAGAAGAGTAAGTTCCAGGGCCTGCTTTAGTTTCTTCTTTTCTGGGTGGAGTGCTTATCTTGTCAGTAGGGAAGAGGTGGTTGTGGAGAATATTTTTGATCCAGGAACTTAGCAATGATGTAGTTAATCCCATTAGTAAAACAGTTCAGTCAGTTATCTATACCCAAGAGGCTTGTCTCTCCATCCCTGGGCCTTTCTTCAGGCTAGAGGAGCAAGGGGGATTTAGGGGAGCAGATAGACCCATAAGGAAAAGCTACCTTTCCCACAAAGCCCCCACAGGGAAGAAATGCAAAACTTCAAAGGTACATTGAACTCAACTCGGGCAAGTGGGTGAAGATAAATCCCACTGGAATCCTGAGACGTTATCTTAGGCTACGAAGCCTGGGCCCTGTGCTCTGTTCGCCTGTACTTAGAGGCCAGGTCTCCTCCTTGTCAGTGTAGCTGAGTGGCAGCCTCCGCACACCCAGGCTGGCCCTCAATGGTGCGTAATGCAGCTCTTCCCATGCACTGCCTCTCTGTTGCCTGTAGCTCTGTGGAGGATGTGCTGTGAGACCTAACAGATGGATCGTCTGCTTATTAAGACAACTTTTGCAAATGGAAAGAGGACAGCAGTAGAGACAGTGCAGCTGAGGACTGTCAGCAGTGTTAGGAAGTAGAACTGTCTAGGCAAGCGGGTCTGCTGTCAGGCGGTGGAACAGTCTAGCTTGTCTTGTGCCCAATTAAATAAATATCTACATAAGTCTTAAAATCTCTGCATAATTACATTGTGACAAATTAAAACTTCTAATGTTTAAAGGAGAAAATTTCCAGTCCTGCAGATCTGTGGTAGTAGGACACCTCATTCCAGAATCTGCCAGAATGATTCAGCCTGGGTTTAAGTTTGAACATTGGGTTTGCAATAACAGAGTAAATTTGCAATGCTGTGAAATCAGTTACTACCATATTCCTCCTGTTTCTCTGTCTCCTCATGTTGTGGGTCGATCTTAATGGGAACTAGGACTTGGTGTAACTTTGTGGCACATAGAATAATTGAGCAAAGACACTGATCGGAATGCTACTTTATGAAGCCTTTTAATTCCCTGAACTTGGAAGATTTATTTTTGTTATGCAAGTGTCCATCAGGGACATTACTGCATGCCAACCAAGTTCTTCAGGTTCTGCCCAAGCCCCTGAGCAAAGCCTGTCAGCCGTGCAAGTGTTGTTTCTTACGTGGAGATAATTTTGAACCTTATCTTCATCTACTGCAGTCTCAAACTTTGGTTGCTCTGTGTGCCAGGTGACAGCACTGGTAGTGACACAGCTGTGGGCTCCAGCAATGAGGCAGAGCTGCCCATGGGCCCGTGGCAGACCTGTGACGAGGACCCAGAACTCAGCACTCCCACAGATGCTGTGCCTGACTCTGATGCCCGCCACTGGTTACAACTGAGTCCTACTGATGCTTCAAACTTGACAGGTAATTTGTGTGAGGAGGATTACTGCCACAAACAGGAGGTCCCAGAGTTCCCTGCTCTGGACACTTGAACCCTTTAGTGCAGTGCAATGGAGATGCCACTTTCAACCACATTGGATTTGCAGCTCCAGTCACTTGCCCACAATTGCTCATAAAATCTTAGAGTCTTGGATGGAATGAGTTTTGGAATCAGGCAGATGTGGGAGGAAGTCTGCTATGCTCATGACCATTATCTCCTATGCTAAGAAGTGATGGTATCCATACCAAGGCCTTTGGAGACAGAAAATAATATGATTTTAGCTTATATGTACCACACAGGTAGAACAAGGGGATTGGCTGTCTTATTATTTAATTTTTAATTATAAAATATTTGATACACACTGTAAAATTGTGACATATATGTGGGATAATGGGTCATATTAATAAAATGGACAACAGTGGCCTGCTGCTACCCAATTTAATGTCTAGAAGAGTACCTGTCAGTGAGGTTCCAGAAACTCTGCTCAAACCTGTTATCTTCTTCTTCCAGCAGCCTGTAATGCTAGCCCCATTTAAAAATATATAATAATAATTCCTGTAACTGTAATGTCAGTATTTATATGAATATGATCTTGACTTACTTTTCCTGAATAAAGAAGTTATTAATTGAAAAACAAAAGCAAAAACTGAGTGTAGCTGTTCAAGCCTCTAACTCCAGCATTTTGGGCAGAGACAGGCGGATTCTGGGAACTCACTGGCCAGCCAGTCTAGCAGAAAAGGCAGGCTTTCAATTCAACAAAAGGCTCAGTTTTAAAGGACTAAAGTAGAGATTGGTAGAAGACATCCAGCTTCTGGCGTCTTCATGCATGCACTAAACACCTGTACTCCCACACATATACATGCACCACCCCTGTCACATATGTACATAAATAAATGATCTAATAATTCCCTCTGGGTATGGAGGCATACACTGTAGTCCCAGCATTTAGGAGTTGAGGCAGGAAGCACATAGGAAATAAAAGCCCCCTTTAAATGCCAAAAATTACTCAAAAGTAAAATTAAAGGCTAAAGTTTTATTTTAAATAATTTTTTTTTTGAGACAGGGTTTCTCTGTGTAGCTTTGTGCCTTTCCTGGAACTCACTTGGTAGCCCAGGCTGGCCTTGAACTCACAGAGATCCACCTAGCTCTGCCTCCCGAGTGCTGGGATTAAAGGCATGCCCCACCACCGCCTGGCTTAAATAATTTTTTTAATCAAGCAAACTTTAATTTTCATTGTGATATAAAACCTATGTTAACTAAAGTGTCTGTTATTTTTGGAAATCCTTTGTATTATAACATTAAAATGTACAATTAGCATAAATGGTATTGATTAAATTCTGTCAATACTATGAACTTATATAGGATTTAAGAATTCTAATTTTGTATGGCAAGCAGGCTAAATCTCTTCATTTCTGTTTGTGAGATCCATAGAAATCATACCACCCCACTAGGAAATACTAATAAGTGCCTGAGGTGGGACTGGCCTCCAAATGCTGTACTGTCTCTACCCTCCCCACTGAATTATGGCTAAAATAACAGTTGCAAAGCCCTTTGAACTACTGGAGAATTGTTAATGCATTTATGAAATAAATAGCTTGTTTAGGTCCAATATATAAGAGATCTCACCATGATGGTATTATAGATCTAGTGCTGAATCTGACTTGAATGTTCTTAAAGATGAACCAGATGTAATTATTTTTATTGCAAGGAAAGAAAATTGGATAAGTGCTTCTTTTGTTTGTCCTTGGGGAAGATTAGTTTGATCCTGTTTCAGAGTGTGCATCTGACTGCTTAGTTTGGTGAGCTGTGTAACTCTGTATGATGCACCATGTTGCCATGAGCTCCTCCAGATACTTTGTTCTTTGAAATACTAACGTGGAGAATCAGTACACATAGTTCAAGAGTTCATCCTGTCAGCAGCGGAAAGGACAAACTGTAATATGATGAGGCTTAAGGATTATCACAGTTCTGAACTTAACTCTCTGTTCTTAAGAGAACAATTTCTGCATAAATGGAAAAAATGAAACTTGTTAAAAACCTGATTTTTAGGATGCAGAGAGAGCAAGCCATCTGATGGGGCATGTGGCTCAGTGGTGGCGCCTGCCTCACGTGTATGAGACCCTGGGACTGATCAGCAGCACTGCAGGAAATAGACAGAAGGTGCTGTGGTTTCTCACTGAATAATCCTGCCCATTACCAATTGCTTAGAATGAAGTTGGGGGCCAGCTAATCAGCTACTTTCATATTTGCTTGCTGCTTAAATTATTTCATGCTACTGAAAACAATGGCTCCGTTTATTATGTTCTAAAATATACTTGGGCCATGTTTAATCAAGTATATTAGTACATGTAAATAAAATGATGGTAATTAGCAGAAAGGTTTGTTTTACTTGTCTCTGGACACAGGAGCCACAGAAGGAATCTCCAGGTTCAATCAAGAGGCAGAGAAAGAAAACATGGGGAACAATCCCTGTTGTCTTTTCCTCAGGAAAAACAAGGCAAGGCAGGGTGAACAACCTGCTATAAGTGACCTCAGTGGACTCTAGAGCATGAGGCTGTCTGGTTGATTGGGACTTGGACCTGGAGTGGGAAAGGCAAGAGTAGATGGACTTGCATGAGCTTATGTTGATTCATTCACATATGAAAAAAGCTGTGCTCTCTCTGGAGTTTGCTATTTTTACAGTTAAGAAACACTAGGAAGGGCAGTCTCTCTCTAATATGCAAGGTCTCAGCTGCCGTAGATTAAGAATACAGGTGCACACTAATCCACACATCAAGTCTGCTTAGGGAGTAACTCATGAGTGGGGTATATCTGTGGCTCTGCTTCTACAGTCAGCATTGTTGCTGAGCTTATCCTTTATGCAGCAGAGCGCCTGTGATCTAGAAATACCTATTTAGATGCTGTGAGAAGTAAAAAGATGAATGGGCTGGGGAGATGGCTCATTGCATAAAGCATTTGTTGTGCAAGCATGAAGACCATAGTTGGATACCCAGAACCCACATGAAAACCAAGCAGGTATAGCAGTCGCTTGTAATCCCAGCACTCAGGAAACATGAGGGATCTCCAGGGTAAGCTGGCTATCTAGACTAGCTAGAATTGGTGAGCTCTGGGTTCAGTGAGTGATTTTTTTTTCCCTCAGTAAATAAAGTGGAGAGTGATTGACAAAGACCATCAGTGTCAACTTCGCCACACACCCCCCACCCCGCCATGTACTCATACTCGCACATGTGCTTCAACACATGTAAGCAAGCATACATACACATACACACCACACACATACATGTGACAAAAAAAGATGAAGGAGTCATAGGTACTGATTTCTTAAGAATTATAAATGAGACAGAAGATGTGTCCTGATTATCACAAATAATGTGATAAGTGCTGTGTAGTTCATATAATGAAAGTTAGACTCTTAGGGGTAGACAAGTATACTAAAAGTGATGGATGTAGAGTCAGAACTGATTCCTCACAGGCATGGAATCGCAGTCTGTGATGGAGGGTCTTCCACACCTAGCAGGGAAAGAATGTACTATTAAATGGATCCCTGTGTGACAAGTATTTATCCATGGTGGGGTAAAAGAGATAGAATCCTTAACTCACTCCAAGCTTGAAGTCAGTTCCAGAAGTATGGAAATTTTAAATTTGAAAAGGAAACTTTAAAAACACTTGGAAGAAAATGTCTTCTAAACAAGAAAGACAGGAAGAAAAACTATGATCTTGGGGTTCGAGAGGGTTTCTCAAATGAGAAAGGAAAACAGGCAAAGAGCTAACCAAAAGAACGTGCCAACAGTTCAACCTAAGTAAAACTAAAACTTTTAAAATCAGAGACGCTTTAAAAATTCTTTGACTAATTAGGACCCCAAAAGGTAAAGCCCAACTTTGATGTTCATTCCTTTCCAGGTTCCTATCAGCTTTAAATAAGATTTGGTAAGGAACAACCAATGTCTTGCTTTGGGTGGGAGGGGTCAGTGTCTTCCTCTGATGGATTATGAGCTCCATCATAATCCATCATAATCCATAGGGAAAGCAGATTGTTTTTTGTGTGCACAGAATCCTCCTGACTCCAGGATGGTGTGCCCTTAGTAAATAGCCCAAATCAATGAACAAATATGCTTTAAACTTCAGATTATTATTTAGCTAAAAATATCAATTAAATTTTAACCTTAAAATCATCAAATGTAATGCAATTTCAGATCTCTTTTATTTAATATATTTATCACTGACCTATATCCCAATGTCTCTTACGGGAAATCCTTTTAATTACACTTGTAGATGTGAATTGAACATTGTTTCCCTACACTGACGTTGATTTCTAGAAACAGTTCATCAGCATCACACACATTTTTGGTATTTTACCAGCCTCTGATATGCTTGTACATCATGAAATACTGTAAAGAAAAGTAATAGTAAGATCTACAGTGGCATGGGTAAAGTGCCTTCTGAAGTTAAATTGGGATTGAACAATAATGGAAGCAGACGAGGAAAGGAGGAGTGTCAGGATGCCATGGAGCAGAATGCCAACTTGTACCCCAATCTTCTGATTCTAGAGGGGATCACCTAGCTTTTCTGCCTCTGCAGTTAAGAAGTTATCAAGAGCCTGAGAGGTGATATCTTTTGTTTTCAAAGAAAAAGGCTATCTTTGCTCAAATTATGCCAAGCCTAAATAAAATGACAGATGTATGAACTGGCCCTTTGATCGTAAGTACCTATCTGCCAGTTAAAATTTGTTCAATATTTTCAAATTCCTAAATTTCATATTTGTCCATTATAATCATGTATGTATTTGAAGAAAGATGATAAAATTTTACATACTTTAGTAATTTTAAAGGCCTCTATAACATTTAGAAATAGTGAAACAAAAAGACATTACTAATGAAAACAAAGCAAATGTTTGGTATTTTGGAGGTGAACATGGAATTTTCTAAAATCTCTGAAATCCCCCTTTTTAATCAAGCGTTCCTTCATTGAGGACATGTCTACATGT